CTAAGATAAACTCATAAAATATAATTATATTATTTATTAAAAATATGTTATATGTATTTATAATAACCTCAAAATATTAATAATATTTTAGCTGAGAAGACTTATTGTAAAGATCTGAGCCTCTCCACAACACAGAGCAAGATTTTCCAATCAGTGTGATCTTTATCAAGACATTAAAAATCTAAATCTCATTTTAGATGTTAAGACGAGATAGAACTCTACGTATTTGATGCTAAAATGTACACTTGAATTTCAGAAAGTAATATTATATTTGTAATTATATTTAGCCCCTTAATGATACAACAATGATCAAACAGGAATTAAAAAATTTTTAAATTTTGATAGAGGAATAGAATCACATAAAAGAATTATGTTGTGTATTTGAGGTGAAGACTTTTTTCGTTAAATTTTATTGCATTTCAAATTCAAACTCAAATCATTTCTAAGTACAATTCTATATATAATTTAGATTTTTCATAGAGCAACTGAAGAAATGTCAAAATCACAATATGTTACACTTTCTTCTTCGATTCTTATATACAACGTTTTGCTAGATTATTTAGAAAAACTCCTTGATAGTGAAAATAAAGAGTATTATACAATTCCTGAAGTAAGAACTGCTATAGCAAAAGGGTATAAAAAGCTTAAGACTTATTACTCTAAAACAGATCAATCAATTGTCTATCCGATTGCAACAAGTATTAAATATTTAATTTAAATTTTTTTTCGTTAAAATTTATTTAATCTCTAATAATATATTTATTATATTATTTTTAGTTCTTGATCCTCGAATAAAATTAAAGTACTATTGGCAATAACAATGGAAACGAGAGTTTATTGATGATACATTAAAAATTGTTAGTGATACGTATAATAAGTATTACTGAGATAATTTTTTAGTTGCTAATAATCCAGCTCAAGATCAAAATAAAAGCAATTTTTTTAGCTTATTCGAAATAGGTAATGATTCTTCTAATGAAGATGAACTAGAGGAATATCTTCAAAAACCTGTGATTAATTTTAAAACTAATTCACTACAATGGTAGAAAGTAAGTAAATTTATAGTGTGTAGCAATTTTTTTTATGATATATAGTTTAACTAATATAACTATGTGTATTACAGGCACATGAAGTTACTTATCCACATCTAGCAACTATAGCTCAGGATTTTTTAGCAATTTCAGGTAATTACAATAATAAAACGTATAAATTTTATTTAATATTTTTCCTTTATTGACAAAACTAACATATAGTTTTAATAATAGGAACCAGTGTACCTGTTGAGCGAGTATTTTCTAGTGAGGCTGACCTATTAGCAAAAAAACGTTATAATTTAAGAAAAGAATCAATCCAGACGTGTATGTACCTTAAGAGTTGGTTAAATTTGATAATTTAATTATAATTAATTTTAATGAAATTTTTATAATTAGTATTGTTTATTTGCTTTAATAAATTTAATAAAAGAAATAATAATTTTGGAGTTATATTTATTTACTTAGGATGGGATAGCTCTAGATTTCTATCTAGATCAGCATACATTTTTATTCATCTATTTGACAAAAAAGAAATTTTCCGGATATATTTTCCATTAACAAATGCCAAATAATTAAAGAAAAAATTAGCGTATAAGTTAACAATTACTTATCTTTTCCTTTTGTAGGTACCAAATCATTCTACAAGATAAGTTTATGTTTTTTAAAAAAATTTAAAAAAAAAATTTAATTAAAAAATTATTTTATTAGGACTTACCTCATCCAAAGATTCTACGATTAGAGGTTTCAAATCTGTCTACAAGTTAATATTAGTATTTTTAAAAAAATAAAAAAAAATTTAATTAATTTATTGCATTAGGACTTACTTCTAATCCAAAGATTTCACGGTTAAAGGTTTCAGATCGGTCTATAAGGTAAGTTAATGTAAATATTTCTTGTTAAATTAAAAAAATTAAAATTATTTCATAAGACTTACCTATAATCAAAGATTTCACGGTTTAAAAAGTTCCAAAAGCCTTAGATCGATTGGATCAAAGGCGTGTCCTATAAGAGAAAGGTAAATATTAGTTTATTTTTAATTAATTAAAAAAATTAAATAATTACTTACCTCTTTCTCTTTTTGTAGGTATCAGAAATCTGGTCTGATCAGTTTGGAGATGAGTCCTACGAAAGAAAAGGTAAAGTTATTAATATTTTTTTTTTAATTAAATAAATTAAAAAATACTTATTTTTATTCTTTTTGTAGGTGCTGAAAGCCTTGGATCGATCGAATCAAAGGTGTGTCCTATAGAGGAAAAGTAAATATTAGTTTATTTTTAATTAATTAAAAAAATTAAATAATTACTTATCTCTTTCTCTTTTTGTAGGTATCAGAAATCTGGTCTGATCAGTTCAGAGATGAGTCTTATGAAAGAAAAGGTAAAGTTATCAATATTTTTTTTAATTAAATAAATTAGAAAATACTTACTTTTATCCTTTTTGTAGGTGCCAGAAGCCTTGGATCGATCGGATCAAAAGCGTGTCCTATAGGAAAAAGGTAAATATTAGTTTATTTTTAATTAATTAAAAAAATTAAATAATTACTTATCTCTTTCTCTTTTTGTAAGTATCAGAAACCTGATTCGATCAGTTTGAAGATAAATCCATTCTAATTGATTTTTAAAGTTTATAGATTAGCAATTCATATAAGTTTTTGAAAGAAAAGGTTTACTTTTTAAAATGAAGTGTTTTAAAGGATTTTCTCATTTTTTGATAAGTAAAAAAAATAAAATAAAAAATGATTTTAAATGACAACAAATGAAAACAAATGATCTCAAATGACATCATTTTTATTATTAAATAATTATATCGTATTTCCTGAAAAATCATGATTTTAAAATAGCCAATCAAAATTGACTGCTAAAACTAATTATTAATTTGCCTCTGTAATTACAAAACTATTAATAAATCTCTGAAACTCTGAAACATGTTTCAGATTATGGTTAAAATATTATCTCCAAAACTACTAAAATTAATTTCGGAGTTCTGGAGTTTTGGGGATTTATAGTTTTAGCTGAATGAACAATTATTTTTTTGATCTTCAGGTCGGATCGGATCGGGTACTTGACCTGACCTAAAATAAAGATTTTATCTGTGAGTTAGATCAGATATCTGACTTGATCCGCCAAAATATTTGACCTGCGGATCAGATCAGGTCAAGTATATATATATCAAATAGTTTTTTATCTAACCTGAAAAAAATATGACAGGTCAGGTCAAGTCAATTACCCGACCTGACCTGACCTATTCAGAACTCTAAAAATATCAAAACGCTAAAGAGTAAACTTAGAAAAAATACATCACAGTTTTACCACCATTTGTTTTCAGGTGTAAATGAGGTGTCTGTTTCTGAGTTAACCTGAAAGGATCCTCTAGCTAACCAAGTAATTAGCGATAATTCAGATCTAGTGGAAAAATTGCTAGAACAGTTGAAGAAGTCTTTTATGGTAAATTCTTCTTTTTTATTATACAGTCATATATGAAACACCTGTTTCGAAGAACCTTTCTGGCTAACGGCTGATATTTTTCGATTTTAATATCATTTAATTTATGCTATCATTAGAAATCAGTAGAAGATATGGTTCCTTTATCACTTTCACAAAATATACGGAAAAAATGCGAAGAATTTGTGACTAGTTTTATTGAGAGTGATATGAATATTTTACCACAAAAACTTTCGCATAATGAGAAGTGAAAAGAATCAGATGGGAAGCTTACAGAGGTCACATCAAGAATTTTGGATTCTCTAAATGATTCATGAAATAACCCTGCATTTAGTTCTGAGTTCACGAAATCACAAAATGAAGGTATTTATGTGACAAATGTAATTGTATCTGCTATTCGGACCATATTAAAAGGTCTTCCTTTAGGGAGATTATCTTATATCAGCACGTGAGTTATAATATAATTAGGAAAAGTGATATTTCAAAAATTTAAACTGTCACTAATATTCTTCTTTTATTAGTGCTGAACGTCAAAGTTCAGCTAGTACAGATAGAAAAGGCGAAGGGCGAACAGGAAGATGACCAGATATCATATTTGTGATGAAGCATAATAGAAAAAAATACAAACTCATATATGTTGAAAGTTCACGCTTATTTTGCATATCACAGAAGGAAATTGATGATGAAATAAAATTATGGCGTAAAACTAATGATAGAATGTACTGGATTCATAAATTATCTGGATCAGATAAAGGTGAATTCAGAATTATTGGAATGCAAGTTGCCAGACGAATAATGCGCTTAAATGTTCTCATTAAAGATATGGAAAATATTCATCGTTATTATCATCTTTACAAAGCAAAAATTCCTGTACAACCATCTGATCCATCCCTCGTAACAAATTTCGTAAAGATTTTACTGATTTTACAGAATATTCTAATAGTTAATATATCTTTACTACTTAACGCACTCTCAGTTAGATCTAAAAGAAATAAAGGCAGTTCAAATGTAGATTCCGAATAGATAAGATTATATATGTAGTAAATTTATTATTATTTTTTCTGTATCAATAAAGTGACCCTGGTGGTTAATTATTATTATTTTACATATTCATCCATATTTTTTCATGTGAGGAATGTGCATTAGATAATAAAACTTTTCTTGGCAAAAGTTGCTGACCATTGGTCAGGATGTCACATGTTTTTTTGGAGGAAAATTAACCGAGAGGCGCTTTGCATGAATTAGCTTGAGTACTTTTTTCCTTGCGCTTTTGCCTCTTTCTGCAGGTTCAATGGTGTGTCAAACCTTAGCCGAATTGCAAGAGGATCATCCTCAGGCCTACTGAGATCAAATACAACAAACTCACCCTTTTTGCGGAGATAGCTATTAATGACCATTGATGCATTTTTTACATCATCGGTATAGCGTCTAATAATTTTGGAGACGTCTTTACTAAAAACTCTATGTTATCATTGCATCTGATCAGTAGATACGTGTGACAAATCACTTAAAGCGTCAATCAATGATGTTGTACCCTGTAACACTTTCCCCAACGATGCCACCAAAATTGAGAAAAAAGAAAAAATCTCCAACAGGTATGTGGATGAATTGCGAGCATTATTTGTAGTTATCCCACTCACTCGGCAAAAAATAGCTCCCAAGGAGGACATCAATGTTGGCACATCTTCGAAGGGTATAGAAAAGCCCGAGGAAATAGTATCGCCTTTCCCAAGGGAACCGTCTACAGGTAAAGTGGGCGTATTACGAATATTTTTTGTGAAGCAACTCATTTTTATCGACAAAATAGTTTCTATGGAGGGTGTTGAGTCCACCGAAATTGCCCCATCTACGAAAGACAGAGAGGTTACTTCAACTACTCCAAGCGTTGAAGAAATCAAGAAGTGGAGTCCTGAGCAGGTTATCACTTTCCTAAAGTCCAAGAAAAATGAGTTATATCTCAGAGAAGAAGATATCAAAATAATTGAGGATAATTGGGTCGCCGGTCAAGCATTCCTTCTTCTAACCGAAGAAAATCTCCTAAATAAACCCTATAATCTTGTTGGCGGTCCAGCAAAATCAATCGCGTATTTGATTGAAACTCTCAAGGGCGGAGAAGGTATGTTGATTGTCGTGATAAAAAATTAGTAGTGTAAAAAATTATCACAGTGGGAATGCTAATATTTGATGAACTGTTTGGTATATTGTTTTGCGACGCTGACTAATTATGGCTTTTCTTTTTATCAGTGACGCTAAAGCGTAAATATGAATCACCAGAAGAGTTAAGTAATATTATAGAAAGTGCGGTAGATAAATCGGTAGAGAAATCGGTAGAGAAAGCATTTTCCCGGCAAAAGCCTGATGTTATCTCGGTATCAAAGCTTTCCGAAACAATGATGAAAAAAATTATTGATGATATTGGAATAAAGACTGCAAATGTAAATACTTTCTTTTGTATTATTTGGAGTGTTTCTTATCACTTGTCATTTATCCATTCTAGTTATCGGTGGAAGACTTTCTACCACTTGAAACCGTGTCATGCGAACCATTCAGATGGGATATAGAGAAGGAGGAAGCTCATCAAATGCAAGATGTTGAGAAATGGTTTAAGAATGTACTGATGCTACCAAGGAATTTCCACGTGAAAGATGTTCACAAACAAGTAAACTATCAACGACATTTGCGAGGTGCAAACACTATTATAACAGGTGGTGCCGATATATCTGTCGGACCAAGTGAGACAGCTTGCGTTTGGATTGAAACTAAGAAAACATTGGAGGATTTTAAAGAAGGTCAAGCCATGGGAGAATTATTCTTAATAGATAAACTCCATCCGACAAATGCAATGACCGTCTTAACGGATTGCAATGATAATTGGATAATTTACTTCTTCATGAAAATAAAAGATGAACAATACATAGCAACGTCTAGAATTAATAATCGTCATACCGCTTTGGCGATAATTAAACAGTTTGTGCTTGAAGAAGGACAAAATTTTCACAAGTGGATAGGAAAAGACATCACCTATCAGGTAAACTTGCCTGCGCCTCTTAAAAAGAAAACAAAATTCCTCGAAAGCATAACTGAAGCAGATGATGCCAGAATGGCAGACATGGTTGGCGACATGTCAGAACAAGAATTATTCAACATGACGGCTCGAAAAAAGTTAATGTTAGTAAGAGATTACTGTAGATTGGATGAACAGCCACAAGTGGATCAACTTATTAGGCAGTTTAGTGATAATTATGAAAATCCACCGATGATGTTCGCATAATGCAGAAATTAATAAATAGTGAAAGTTGGTATTAAGCGTTTTTATCACGCAAATTTACATTTTATTCTTGTAATGGCCTTTTAGCCAAAATGTTAACGAAAAAAAAATAATAAAGTTATACCCATTTTTTCACTAAGTCCTCTACTTAACAATATTTTTTCACATACATTGGGTTTGTGGGGTCGTGCTAATCAGATCTGCATTTCAGCCGAAATATTTAGGGCTGGTAAAGATCTTGATTTCATTACTAATCTTTGCAGAGGGTTAATCAAAGATAAGCATAAGGGATCCATTGATCATTTATTGTAAACGTTTCTGCAAATACGTATTAATGAGGTTTTTCTAGCCTTTTCTTTACAGGGTCTATAATTCAAAAAATACGTAGGACCACCTTACATGGCCGAATTCGATTCTTCGACCGGATACAAATTATATCATATAGCCATGCTTTGCGCTTCTGTTCCGATTAACTACCATCCCTTATAAGTATTCGAAAAAAAGTTTAGTCATGCCAGGGTGATGGAATACGATTCAAGGATCTGATTAGTTATAATGGTTTTTCTCTAGCTTCGAGATACGTGATCGAGAATAACCATAATATATTTCTTTTTCGAACTTTCCGGCATATGGTAGGGCCGTGTGTTGTGCTTATGATAGATCTCGCCAATCCGATGATTGGTTTGCCATTCAGTTGAAATTCAGGGATGATGGATCATTATTAATTTATTGCGGAATTAATCTAACCAAAACATAAGTAAAAGGGGGTTTATCATGATTAATAACTTCCGCAACTAATACTAATGATTGTTTTTTTTACAGGCAAAGAAGGAATATCAATTGACCGGATTTCCATGATGCGATCATACTTACGTGATTCTTATGGAAGAAGAATTCAATTCTTGGACCGCTACAAATCGTATAAAAAGAGGTAAGTATTACCTATTTATCCCTTTTATCCACTTTGCACAAGTAAAACAAAAAATCAAACGAAACCACTAATCAATAGATTTACCTTCATCGATCAATCGAACGAGGAAAAATCCATAAACAAAAATAAAGTATGTTGAAGGTGCTTTACTACTTCGATTTCCTTAATATATGTTAATCATCCTTCTTCCGGCTTCGTAGATGACTATAATCAAATTTTCGGAGGTTTTTCTATTCTTGATATTCGCCAAGAAAATCTTTGAATATCTAATCGCCGGCACGTGCCTTATGAGCGCAGTAAAATTTCTGTGGCTTAGCATAATCATGTATCACTTGATTCCTAAAATCATGCGTCGCATTTGGCGCAGTATAACAAAAATCTTCTTCCGGCAATCGGAGTATTATCTTACCTACTCAAAAACGTGTCAGATTAACGAAGTTTGGCGCAGAACGAATCTAAGCACGGCGGATATAATGCAAAAATCAAAACAAAATAACCTCAATCTTTTCGTGGGTCTTAATGAAAGATCTCGATACGGAAACAGGGGGGGAATAGCATGATCTTGATACATAAAGGTAAGATTTCGGGGTGGGGTGTCATTTATACAATCCAGTATTTTTTCTCTTGCTAATCGAAAGCCTTGATATGGCTCTACTCAATAATTTTTTTTAGGGGCTTTTGGAATAATACTATAGGCGGGAATAATTGGATAGGTAGAGTGGGCGGGAAAATTGGTCTTCTGGAGGTAATTTCTTTCGAAAATCAAACGGATTATGTTGGAGGGAAACATAGTGTATTTTTTTTCGGAAATCTAGTATATAGGGAAAATGTAGATAGAAAAATAGCAATATCATTAGTAGATCTAGCGGGCCTAAAGAATAGGGATGCACTTCACCAGGGAATTTCATCGTCAGGCCTTGGATCCGGTACATTATGTTTTTGCAAAAATTTCCTCCCATGCAAGCCCGCGAATATATTTTATTTTGTATATATTCTAGTAATGGCTGAAGTGCATAATATCATTAAATATAATAAAGTTTGCCCATCCGGGCTTTAATTTTTTAACTTGTGTAAAATTATAGTCGAAAAAATAATAGTGAATCGCAAAAGCATTTAAAGTTTCGAGTTTACTTAATAAGACCCAATTCTCGAAGATGTTCTGGAATAACTACATATGGGTCTTCATAATACCAAACATACCTCAAGGCAATCCAATTTTCTTCGCATAATTCTTTCTTGAGTTGATCCCGTGCTTGCTGTTTGATAAAATTATTGGGATCGCCATTATGGAA